AAATTCCTTTTTCCAACCATTTATGTCAGCTATAAGCAGATTCTTTTCTTTCATGAACAATATCCTGTTCATTTTGTGGCCCTTGGAAGGGAATTGCCCCATCTTGTTTTGAACTAAACATTCATCCAAGGCAGGTTGACTGTGGCTTTGTCCCTTCCCCACAGTTTGGTTTGTCCAGAGCATACCAGTCAACACACAAATCAATCAGTGGTCAGTGATATGTGTCCTTGAAACAGACTGGATTTGATCAAAGGTTTCAAATTCTTGGGTGTCTTTCCATTGAGAGATAGAGTCTCCTTGTCCTGTTCTAGAGTCTGGGCTGGCCTCTGTGACTGCTTGATTGGTAGCATGTGGAAATGACATTTGGGGACTTCCCAGGCCAGGTCCCTGGAATCTTTGCTGCTTATCCCTGGGCCTCTTGGAAGATGTGCTTGTGGAACCCTGAGCCACTGTGTCCAACCATGTGGAAAAGCCCGGAGACAACATGGAGAGTCAGGGGGGTCCAGCTGAGCCCAGCTTTCCAGCTGTGCCTTCAAAGGTACCAGATGTGGGGTGCCTGAGTAGCTCAGTTGGTTAAACTTCTGCCTTCGGCTCAGGTCATGATTCCTGGGTCCTGGGATTGAGTCCCACGTCGGGCTCCCTGCTCAGTGAGGAGTCTGCTCCTTCCTCTCCCTCTGGCCCTCCCCCTGCTCGTGCTCCCTCTTTCTTGCGCTCTCTGTCTCTCTCAAATAAATAAATAAAATCTTTAGGAAAAAAGTGCCAGATGGGAGTGTGAGGCCCTTTTGAACCTTCTAACCAGCTCATCTACTAGTTAAATAACACCAAATGACCTCCATGGATACTGTTCCACAGGGAACAGAAGAATCACCCTGCCAATCCCTGCCCAGTTTCCTGATCCAGGAAATCATGAGCAATAATAATACAGAGGCACTTTAAGCCACCTGCATCTTGGGTGCTCTGATAGACATGTAACAATAGATATATAACTGCTGGATCTGTGACTCAGGCTCAGACATACTGACTGCCAGCTAAGACAACAGCGCAGTCACTGGGTCACGGAAGACACAAACCCAAGAGAGGCACCAATGAGACCAAGGGACAAAGGTCTTTTCATAAGCCATCGGTCCTGGATGATGTTTCCCGAGGAAGCTGAAAACTTGCCTTTGTGAACACTGACTCTGTGACCCATGACACCAGTGCCCACCGAGGTGGACGCCAGGAGCCTCAAGGGGCCTCTTTCGGTGTAACGGGGAAGTGTCGGCAGCGTTCAAGCTCTCCACTGATGTAACCAGCGTGCTCTGTATCGTTAAAAGATGACAGTTTGGCACGAGGACGTGTGAATTCAAGTGAGTAGATGCAAACGAAAAGAGAGATGACTATTTCTGAGAGCCGTGGGTTAATTTTTCTGGGCTGTTCTTGGAACGGAAAATGATTGTGAATTTTGGGGGAAAAATACCAAAGCAATCTGTTTTCTTGGCCGCACGCTATGGAGCAATTTTAAAGCATTGAAGTGCTTTCCATATTTTCTAATCACCCAAGTCCAGAACTGATTATGGCTTTCCTCATTCTCTCGGATTCACACCACCAGAGCGCTCCCCGTCTTTCAGGGAGAGGTTTCACCTTGAAAGCAGGCGCTGGATTTGGAAGGCACATCTTGCTACAGCAGGAACAAACACTTTAATTGCACACAGCCCCACAAGGGCCAGGTGTTTCGGAAAATCACTGATGGCCTGACTCCGAGACAAACCCAGATTCACTTTTTCTTATCTCACAGAAACAAAGCATAACCTCCCCAACCAAAGAGGAAGAACGATAACAAGCCCTACCCAGATCTGAACTCTCTCAGACAAACACCAGAGAAATTTAGATTTTGGGGGCCTGGGGGTGAGGACACACATGTGTGCGTGCACGCACGCACATAGTTGTAGAAACACAGGGTATCTCTGGAATGAGCCCCCAGAAAGGGTCACTGTGCAGTTTTTTCTGGGAAGAACTGGGGGGAGGGCTGGAAAAAATTGAGAGGTTGATGGAGGAGGGAGATTTATTTTTTTTTAATCATAGACTTTTGAATATTTTACATTAAAAAGAATCAGGGGTGCCTGGCGGCTCAGTTGGTTAAGCAGCCGACTCTGGATTTCGGCTCAGGGCATGATCTCAGGGTCGTGAGATGGAGTGTTGTGTTGGGCTCTGTGCTCAGCTAGGAGTCTGCTTGTCCCTCTCCCTCTGCTCTTCCCCTGACTTGTGCTCTTTGTCTCTCTCTCTCTTAAATGAATAAATAAATAAATAAAATCTAAAAAAAAAATCATATGATGCATCATTTTTCAAAATAATGAAATAGAATAATTCCAAACCTGTAGCTGATCGTACTTACGATCTGCTACGGAGAATGTGTTAAATACTCTCTGTATATTCACTCCTTTAATCCTTATGACAGCCTTATGAAGTAGGCATCCTGATTTCACAGAGGAGGAAACTAAAGTACAGAGAGCTTAGGTAACTTGTCCAAGTTCACACAGCTAGTAAATGCAGAGCTGAGATCTAGACCCAGTGAGGTGGGGTCTGGAGTCCATCCTCTTAATTACTTCCTAATGTGGCCTTGCGAAAAATAAATGTACTCAGTTGCCTACTCATAATCACATTGGGGCAGATACAATGGTTCTTTTCTTCTCTCATATGGCCCTTCAGGGTGATGGAGTGGAAAAGATGGCAGCTCAAAACAACCAAGATACAATTTGTGGGGCTTTAGAGGGCCTTGAAATTCTGTGACTATCAGGTCAAAAGCCTGACGCGGGCCACGCCGCTTAATCTTTCTTTTAAGCAGCTACTCTGTGCTGGGTACTCTGCTAGAGTTTAGGGGAAACTAGTGAATAAAACAGAGTTCTCTAGAAATTTACTGCACCCTCAAGGAGAGAGGCAATAAACAAATAATCACACAAAATAGAATGAGAGCAAGAAGGACAAAGGGGACTCTGAGAGATGAGGATTGGGGCCCTGATTTATACCGGGTGGTTGGGAAGTGTCTTGTAGACAGCCTCCTGAAATATGGGCAGGGGAAGAGGAAGAAGATGGGAGAACGAAAAGGATTCTGGGTGAGGGTAACAGCTCATGCAAAGACTCTGAGGCAGGAAAGAAGTACCTGTCTGAAGACAGAAAGGCCTCTGTGGCTAAGGCAAAGTGAATCAAGCTGAATGTGGAGAAAGAGGCAGATCATATGCACCATGAGAAGTATTCCTCAATTCTACCAAGAGCCACGGGAAAGCCACTGCAGTAGGAGTGACATAATTTGATTGACTTTTTAAGAGGACTACCTGGGGAGCCATGTGAAAAACATGCAGAGGAGGAGGCAAGGAGGCAGTAGGAAACCAGTTAGGAAGGCCCCACGGGAATGCAGGCAAGCGACGAGGCTGGCTCAGAATCGACAGCTGGCACAGAGAGGAGATCTGTTTGAGATCTACTTGGGTGGTATGATATTTTATGCAATTAGTATATACCATTGGCTATGAGAAGTAATTATGGAGCATTAAGTTCACAGGTGTGAAAATGCTTTGGCAACCGTAAAGCATTAGACCAAGGTAATTCTTCCTACAGATGAGGAACCAAGTACTAGAGAGACTCTAAGTTGCCTGAAGTCACACAGCTGCTTAGTGGCTGGGAGGAAGTTGGCCTGACATCCCTTTACTCTGTTCTCTGGCTGCTGGTGTTGGTGGGGCGACCCAGGGGAATGGAAAGAAGGCTAGTGACCAGGTGTGGTTCCCTCATCTAGTGGGCCTCTAAGTAAAGAGTAATGATATAGGCTAAAGACTACCTCTAGTAAACAGGACTCAGGGTCCATGAGGCAGGCCTCCTTGGAGAATATCATGTCAGCTGTACAACTCTCTGGGGTATAAAATGGAGATGTTTCATAATCAAAATGCTGTGCAGTGAGAGGTGACCCCATGATCCTCACCTACTATTCTGGGTGAGAGTTGAGTATTTAGTGAGGGAAGATAGGACCTGGGGAGCCATTCTTGAGGTCTCCAAATGTTCTTTCCTTCATCTGACTCTCCTGATGACCCATACCCTTGAAATTATTCAGCAAAACTTTATACTGGGCAAGAGCTCTGATATATGTGACATGATTTGACAATCTCATCCCACGTGTCCCAGGCCATGCTCTTCCAACAATCCCTGTTGGCCCCCATGTAACGTCAGGCCCAATTACAAGGTCCAGAGATGAAGGGAGAACACACTAGCTTACACTTGCTCCCCTGGCTGGCAGCTTCACTCTGATATTTTTTGGACACATAAGATATCTACCTACTGAAAAGTTAAAATTTTAGGACAGCTTTGCAAGTTAAGAAAAAGGACGAATCTGCCTTTATTGTGAATCAGTAAAACTTACAGAGCATAATACTGGATTCCTTGTGATGTTTTATAGGATTTCCCTAGGAGGTGAACCAGGCCTTTTGAGACTGATGTTAACATTCAATAAGCAGTTACCTTCGAGAAGTCTCCTCAGATGCACCCACCACCCTCCAACTGCCAAAGAATCAGGACAATATCAACGTTCTACAGTGAACATCATTCCCCAGATTATTCATGGTCCTAAGTCATAGAGTTCTCTTATTTCTTTTTGAAAGATGCACAATTTAATTTCCAAATACAACGTCATTTTAGAACTTGGGAGGGATGATGAAAGAGAGCTGTCACTCCAGCTGGGAGGGAGAAAAACCTTTTTGTCTTCTCTGCCTCCTCACAAACTCTATGCTGGGAGCATCAAAAGACAGAATCAGTCTTAGGTCCCACTCCTGGTACAACACTCTCCAATTGTGAACTGAGCTGCTGCAGATAAAGCAGGCCAAGGGCCCAGGGCTTCCTCTGGCAGATGCTCCCCGCGAGGACAGTGGCAGGCTTGTACGACGGGAGCGTAAACATGTTTTCTGAAAAGAAGCCTTTTTACATCCTCTTCCACTCCTCCCCCCTCCCCTACAAGAGCTCCCCAACTCATGCCTGACATTTACCTTCAGCCAGTGGGTCAAGGGTGTGAATCATGAGCTGGAAAATGCTATTCCTCATGAGACTGTTGTGGAGGGAGGCAGAACTTCCACCTCGTTGGAGACGGGGCTTAGCCTGAGCAGAGAAACCAGAGAAAAGTGCTGTTAGCTCTCCAAGACTATAGGTGAGTGTTTTATAGACAAGACCTCACTTAGTCTGGTAGTCACTGATTTCTGTCACATGACGACACACTATTGTATGAAAGACGCTCAAAGTACATTTCAAATCTTGCCAAGGAATGGCTTTTTCATATCCTAAATGAATTCATTGTTACCATTTTATTTTATTTTTTTTGCGTTTACTAAATGTACTAGTGTACAATGTACAACGTTTTACCTTCACTAGTTTATCTCAGTCTCAAAATGAGCCCTCTGAACTAGATACAGTCATTATTCCCTTTAGAGAGGGGAGGACACTGTCTCAGAGAAGTGAAACGAGATAAAAAATGGAGGATAGAGAAATGGATCTCAGGTTTGCTTCCCTCAAAATCTGTTATCTGAACTGGTGGATGGTCTCTAAAATGTTTAGATTGGCTGCCCTATCTATAAAAGTTTTCAGTATGAATATATGTATCTATGTCTGTCTTTATATCTACTACCCAAATGTAAACATATCTGTGAAAAAACATTTGCAAAAGGAGAAATTATGAAGAATAATAGAGAACGTAAATAGTAGAGGTGCTAATATTTTCTCCCTGCTCCTCAAAAGAAGAGTTTGCTTATCTCCTGCGGTACCCCATCTCTACCTTGGAGACCACAGTCCTAATTCATGAAGCCCTATGGTCTCTATGAAAAGAGATCTAAAGGGAAAGAAACTCCTATTAAGAATCCACTGAAAAACCTCCTGACTTCCAAGCTAGAGGGAGGGGGGCTCCTTTTGCATAAACTATTGGTGTGACTCTTTGGCCAAGGAGATGAAACTGACAGGGAAGAGAGAAAGAAAGAACTTCTAGAGTAAGGATACTGACAAACTCTTTTTATGGCATCTTCAGAAAGCAAATAAGCTACAAAAAAGACATCCTAAACCCTCAGGATTTGATGGATTTTTATCCTGACTGGGAAATGCTTTCTCCCCCTTCGGTTGATTTTGTGCAGTCGAGGTTTACAGACAGCCAGATTTAAGAGGGAGCGAGATAAGGTAATGCGAAGGAATTAATTGCTTATTGACCTTTTGATCCAAAATCTCAACATGAAATTTTTCTGGGGCCAGGTAAAAATAAAATACGATTTCCCATGAAGTCTCCCAACTATCTACTTATGGGGCTTCCCAATATATGCCATCACAGTCAAGACCCACAAGGGGGCTTCCCAAGCAGGGTCCCCCAAGAGACTTCACAATCGAATATATTTGGCAAGTGCTACATCCTAAACCAACCCACCTATAGCATTTTATGATACACATTAGACCACTGGGTGTAACACTAAAGAAATCTGGTTAACTTGGTTAACTTGGACAGTGCCCTGAGGTCTCTTATTTTTTGAATACTTATTAACAATTGTGGTCCACATATTTGGGGACAAAGGTGAAAAGCCGTGGTAACTTGAAGTATGGGTAAAATGTCAGTGTGAGATACATGGAAACATCTGACTTTCTTAGTGTAATTTTACTATCATTGATATGCCTTCGGAAATACTCCTAACTCTGATGGAAGAAGAATCAGAGGAGATTGTGAACCGGATCATCTCAAAGCAAGAGATTTGGTTTGTATCCCTAGCTTAGTACCAGATCTGGCATAACTGATGGGCTCTCAGTGAAAGTCCTGAGTCTTTGCTCTGAGCACTACAGGAGAATGGATGGGGTCATAGGTATCTTTATTAACAGACTTTGCAGTCTTAAAAATCTGTAACATTTTTTAATGTGTTGTAATATTTGATCCAGAAGATTAAGGTTCAAAATATCTTAGGGGCAAGGCCAAGAGACTTGACTTCAGTTGAAATGTAACCACTGTCTGCTGGCTGAACATAAAAATTCTGAAGGTCATTTCTTCGCCATCTTGCACATTACAGAATGTGATGTGTTAATTGGATAGGAACTGGAAAATGTGTTTGTTGTTAATAATTTGTCATAATCACTGTTACTATGCTCATTCTAGGAAACTGGAAGAACTTCGTTGTGGAGAACTTCACCAGCAAAGGATTACATCTATTTGGGTATTCTTTAGGGTATTATGTATTTATTAAATATATAGGTCTCATGCAACATTTCTTTTGATGGAACCAAAAGAAATTTCCAATCAAAAAGTAAGGGCATGCAGATATACAAAAAATAGATATCAAGCATTAGATCCCACACTATCCCCAAATATCAGCTCAACATCCCATGGCATGCAATCCGGAAATATTTCATTCTTTTAACTCACATAAAAGTTTATGCCAAATGAAAGAGAGAACTCAAACTTTTTGATATCTAGTCCCAGAAATAATTTGAATATCAGTGAATATCAGAATACAGTTGATACCAATAGGACTGAGTATGCATATATACCAGTAGATTAAGCCGTTTAAGTATCCCAAGGGGGAAGATGGTTTGTTGAGCCCATGAGCCCTCCTCCTCCCACCCCTGTCCCCACAGGCACATGAACAGGTGTAGACAAAGCCACCGCTTCCTACCGGTAGAGCCTGCTCATCCTTGTCCCTGGCTGTAGATGACTGCAGAAGAGAAAAAGGCAAAAACAAAAGACAAAGAAATAAATAAACAACAAGTCCCATGTCAGTTTTATATTTAATAACAAGCATCAGTATAAGGAAAGACTGGGTACTTCCTGCTTCTGCACAGGAAGGATCCAACAAAGGGGCCAGTGTTATAGACTATTAGCCAATATATAACAGTTTGTGTAGGCCCATGGTCCATTCTCCTGAACTCTCAAAGTTGAATGGCCATCCCCAATGCCCAGTAATGGAGGGCAGTTCAATCCATTATGGCCCATCCATGCGATGGAATCCCATGCAGTCATTAAAGTTACTGAGGTAGGTACATATGTATTGACATGTAAAAATATCTAAGATATACTGCTCAAGTAGAAAAAAAGTAAAATCTTATCATGTCATTTGATAGAGGAAAATAAATGAACAATGCTTTAGTATATGTAAAGGAAAAATTGCTGCAAGAATCATACAGAACTGTTATTAGTGGTTATTGCTGGGGATTGGAATTACAAGGAAGTATTGCTTTCCAAGTATTTTGGAGGGAATCCACATTTGCCGCCCCATGTATGGTGAATAAAATAAAGCCTGAAGAAGTCAAGCCACTGAACTAAAGACTAAGACCATCCCATGCAGAATTCTGATAACACATGTTTTCTGCCTCTACCACCTCAAGGTTTCCATTCTGAAAATGGAAATATCTGTCAAATAGAGAAAGGTTGACTAAAACACCAGGGTGCCTGAGGGCCCGGTCATCTGTTAGGAGAGAACACAACTCCAACAAAGGGACACAGGGGTTCTACCAACATGATCCAACCGGCTGGCTTTGCCTTGTCAATTTAATACATGCCCTCCTTCGGCAGAAACAGGACACCATCCCGCCATCTTTCTAACAATGTGTAGGTGCTTTGTGACCTTCCTCATGCTCAGACCACACCTACAGGTGCATACAGCAAGAACAAACTGCAACCCTGCTCCTGGGCTAGCCTCTGGTCCTCCCCATTAGCGTCTTTGGTGATCAAGTCTTCAGGAATAATCAGTCCCATATGGAGATGAGTACACAGTGTGGACCTGTTTTAGAACCTTCATGAACCCTAGGCTCTCTTTCTCAGTCTTACCATATGTCTTTATAGAAGAATGTTAAGATGCTTCCCTATCCCACCTAAAATATACATTTCCATGTACAAAAATGGAAAAGATTCTTATAATCCTTTTATGATTTTGTATTTCAAATTATTGGCTACATGCAATTTGTTTAATTATGACTGGCATGCTTGAGATCTTGGAATGTGAGAAACTGAATCCATAATTTGTTTTCACATATAATGTAACTTTTAAGAAGACTAAATTTCATACTTAATGAAGTTGATATTAAATATTTGTAGACATTCAATTAAACATTTAATAATCCTGTGGGTACCTTTTTTAGATTTTCGAGTCAATATCAACATATATTTTTTCTTCTGGTTCCAAACATTTTTATGGGTCCTCAAAGACCCTGTAAGTCTCAGGCCCAGAGAGAAGCATCCTGCACTGGTGGTAATTTTTTTTTTTTTTTTTAGAGAGGGAGACAGGTGAGGGGAGGGGCAGAGGGAGAGAGAGACTCCCAAGCAGGCTCCACACCCAGTGTATAGCCTGACACGGGGCTGAATCTCACCACTCTGAGATCGTGACCTGAGCAGAGATCAAGAGTCAGATGCTGAACCAACTGAACCACCCAGACGCCCCTCCACTGGCGGTAATTTCTGAGCACAGCCCTTGGACATTCTAAATTCACCATTCCCCTGATTTGGGGCTCTCTCTCAGCGACTTCCCTAAAAACATGAATAAGAAAATATCGCTGATTCCCTAGTTCCCAGGAACGTGCTTGGAGACTGAAGTGGACCTGAAATTGTTCTTTGATTTCCCTTTTTTGCTCTGAAGGCACTGTATGATCCCACTTTTCTCTAGCAGGTCCTTTCATTTTCCCTTCTTCTACATCAGACAGCTCAACAAATGGCCCCACATTTTACAGAACAATCCCCCAGGGGAGTTAACTGGTGCAGCAAGCTCAGCCTTTGGACACACAATGAGATGAACTGTCAGAGCACGCCTTTTCAGTTAGCAAATTTACACCTTGTGGCTAAATGGGAGACAAATAATTATGAGCTGGGATGGATAGCACAGGAAAAGGATGAAAAGGAGGAAAGAGCCTGGGTGGTCTTTATGAGAACAAAACTGTAACCAGCTGCGAGTTTGGATTTAAAAAAAAAATATATTTAAAGAAAATATTTGAGGAGGGAAAAATATATCAAACCTGTCCTGTGGTCTGCCAGGGAGAAAAAAAGATCTGCTCTATTGACTTCCTTTTTCTCTCATAAGCAAGCTGGATCCTAAGACACAATAAGTGGAGAGAAAAGGCCTTGTACATGGATTCTATAAAGAAAAAAGTGAGTGCAGAGCAACGTCTGAAATGCTTTACAAAATCTCCCACTGTTTAATGTCAGCAGAAGTTGACATCATTAGTTCTCTTTCAAGTGTAACTTGCAGACACGAATACATATCAGGCTACAACACGTATGTTTTGTTACATACATAAATGGCAACTGAGGCCATTAAGACCCCTCCACTTTCCTTTTATCTAGCCCTGTTGTAAAAGAAGCGAGAAGTGTGCTGTATGATGATAATTGCTCATTTTGGGGGGCTCACCCGCTTCTACTGCTAATTCCTCATGCTTAGTGGACTCAGCCTTGCTTAGTCCTTAACGGCCCTGGGGTGAAGCCGCTTCACAGTCCTAGGGACACGATGCTGACTAGGTCAGAAATTCAACTTCAAAGGGGTTTTAATTACACTGAAAGTAACTAGTAAAGAAAAAAAAGAAAAGATCCAGATGTGTATAGTGGATGCTGATAAGACTGTAGTATTTCTAACCACTAAATTATTTAGCTAACTATCTGGGTTTGGGGTTGGCCTTAATATTGTGAATTTATTTCAGGGCCACTGAACAGGTGGCAAGGTCATTTTCACCCACTGTATATAAAGAAGACAACTTCTTCAAAAGAAGTCTAGGGGTGCCTGGGTGGCTCAGTTGCTAAGCATCTGCCTTCGGCTCAGGTCAGGATCCCAGGGTCCTGGGATCGAGACCCGCATCATGCTTCCTGCTCGCTGGGAAGCTGCTGTTCCCTCTCCCTCTCCCTGATTGTGTTTCCTCTCTCGCTGTCTCTGTCAAATAAATAAATAAAATCTTTCAAAAAAAAAAAAAAAGAAGTAGTCTAATGGGACTTTGAGGATTAATCTTGGCATTCTTCTTATACATTTTGTGTTTAAATGCCCTTGATTTTAAGCCACCAAAATATCACATTTGGGCTGTACTAATTTGAAAGCCCAGTTCCTGGTGGTCAGTGGAAAGGTTGTGCAAGCTAAAATTTGTTAAATCAGTTGGAAACATACATGGAAATTCTTGAGGAGTATTTAAAAGATTTCATAAAATGCATCCCCAAGGGTCCCAGGATGGGGCTCTGGTGTATCAACACAGACTCTCCTCTTCATTCATGAAAGCAGGACATCTATGAGGCCAGGATATAAGGAATGCATCTTTTACTTAAAAGAAAATATTCTGTAATTCAACCCTTTATTTAACTTAAACTGGCCTCCTCTCTAATCACTGCAAGTATTTGGGAAATTGAGCAACTGGAATGATGCCATTAGTATCTGTTGTTCTCCCTGGTAGAAACCCTAGTTCTATATGGGAATTTTGCTACCTATTTCCCAGGTGTTTTGAAAGCACCCCACCCCCATTAAAAAACACACAGCCCATTTAGAGAGCATTTTCAATACTATCAACCATTCATAAACCCTTACACTGTCTTTCTTCCTTTAACCTCCGAAACCACCAGTGGAGTAATGACTTCTGTGACCACGAAGTGTGTGATCTGACCTTACACAGAAATTTACCTCATATACAGGCCCCTGCTTCAACCTCAGACACATCAGTATCAGGCAAATACAACACAGTGTGGCCTTATGGTGACCACACAGTCCTTTTTTCACTCTGACCAGTAACTGCCCACCGGCAAATCACATCATCAAATGGGTCCCTGGGAAGACGTCATAATCCAGAAGATAACTGGACAGTAGCACGGCATCAGAGATAAGCAATTACTCACAACAGTCAAGGAACATCCATCAACTTCTACCACTTACATAATCTCTCACTAGATCTGAGAAATGCACCAGAATTTATTGTGCTGAGGACCCAGAAGCACAGTACAAAGTCTATAAAAACAAATTTAAAAGTATCCTTATTTTGTCATAAATGTGACCTAAAACATACATGCTAGTGATTAGAAATGTTAATCTAATACTTAACTGACATTGTTATGATGTCTTGGAATTTAGAAAGGTTGGGTGGAGGAGAAGAATGGATTTTTGTTTAAGAAGTTAACAAGGAAGTATGAAATGATGTCTCCTTTTTCTTTCAATTCACTTAGCTGTAACAAATAATAACTTTCAAAACATCTCTCCTGGAAAAAGGTGAATAAATCTCAAAGTCCATGGGAAGATTAGAAGGTGCAAAAGCCTCAAACCTGGAAATCTAAAAGGAAAGAAATCTTACCACTTAATCAGATGTGAAATCATCACTGTTTCCCTCTCTTTTTGGTCTTAGAAGACTCCCTAAGACATTGAGGGGGGAAGGATTAAATAAATTCCTAAAGAAAGAAATACTAAGAGATGTAAGTTCAACCCTTGCTTGCTGGGTAATTATCCCAGTGTCTCTGCCCATTAAGAATGTGAGAATCTCAAAAATTAATGAAGGATGGAGGTGGCAGCCCAGGATGCAGGAACACCCACTTCACAACTCTGCTTTAAAGAAACACACTAGGGGGGACCTGGGTGGCTCAGTTGGTTAAGTGGCTGCCTTTGGCTCAGGTCATGATCCCAGGGTTCTAGGATCGAGTTCCCCATCAGGCTCTCTGCTCAGCGGGGAGACTGCTTCTCCCTCTCCCTCTGCCTGCTGCTCTGCCTAC